ACAAGCAAGATATTATACGACCTTAATCCTATTCCACTTCAAATTTCTAAATTACGAAAGAGAGCAAAACAAGTTGGTATTTTATTAAAATCTCCTGATCACCTGGAAAAACGGAAACAAAAAGAAAAACAAAGTACAAAAAGAAGAGAAGAAAACAAAAATAAAAGTTGAAGGGCGTCAAAAGTGTGCAAAATTACATTTAAAAGGACCCAGAAAACAGTCAGAAAAAGGAAATTGCGTGAAGAAATTGAGTCGACATCGAGTAGCGACGCTGAATTTATTCCTGACAATGGTGACTCTGATTTGGATGAATGCGATGACGATCTTGATTCCAGAAACGATTGCAAAGGATGCGGAGAGAATTATTACAAAACTGAAAAAATTGAAGAATGGATACAATGTACGTTGTGCCTCAATTGGTTGCATGAAAACTGCACAGAATTTTCTAATATGTGCCATCCATGCGGCCGTAAGGATTTAACATTAAAAAAAATCAAACAGCAAACAAAAAGGCAAGGGAACGAGTAAGAAGACGGTGAAATAGGTGTGGCCATCACTCCCTTAGTGCTATGGCCATCTATACCGGACACTCCGGGAGAGATGGCCAATTGAGTTTTTTGTTTTAGATTTATTGTAACCTTTATCTCTTGTTATAATTGTATGACGATTAAAAAATTATGATTAAAAACAAATAATGCTTTGATTACAGTATAAATTGACTTTCATTTGCTAAAAATAGAAGAGAAAAATGGCTTCAAAATAACTATGGCCATCTCTACCGGACTTACCCTATTCCATTTTATTTTTCCAATATATACATTTTACGAGCTTTTATTGACGCGTTTTATACCGTTACCGTCTATCGATCTGTATTTGTTTCGAGTATTAATCTATCAAGTAATAATCTACATTAATGTCACGAAACCAACACATTTATGCGATAATTTAATCTTTACATAACTGTGACTGCTCGCTTCTTGTGCATGTCCAACTTACGAATCTGTTTGTTTCATCTATCTTTCCTGTACCGAAGATGGTCCAATAAGGACCGAAACGTATACACAATTTTATAATTGAAATTAATTTATGGACACTACCATCCTGTTCGGCCTCTGAGCTATTTATTTATCACCTCGTTTTATCACACGAGCCATTAGTTTTATTATTTTCTTTGTTACTGAAACTAGTTTTGTTATTACGGGGGGGGCTTTCGCCCCCCCCCAACCCCCCCACCCGGGGGCTTCGCCCCCAGGTCCCCTATCCCCGCCCTTGCTTTTCCCCTTGGGGGCGCTTCGCCCCCCCCCCAAACCCCCCCTCGTGCGCGCGCGTCACAGCAAGCCTCCACAGAAACGCCTCTTTTTCACTACATCCCAGCGATATATGTATATGTATTGCAATACTTGGCTTGAAATACAACGATTAACTTTTCTGTAAAGCAGAATATCCTTGAATGCGTTAATATTCTAAAACTTGGTAAATTTCGTGTTATTAAGACTAGAAACCCATGTAGAATCACAGTATTTTGCATATTTCTGTAAAGCAGAATATTCTAGAGTGCGTGAATACTCTAAAACTTGGTAAATTTCACGTTATAAAGACTCGAAACCCATCTAGAATCAGTTTTTTGCATATTTCTGTAAAGCAGATTATTCTTGTGTGCGTGAATATTCTAAACTTGAGATTTCATGTTATAAACACTCGAAACCCATGTAGAGTCACAATTTGCTCCAACAGTTTGCATATTTCTGTAAAGCAGAATATTCTTGAGTGCGTGAATATTCTAAACTTGAGATTTCATGTTGTAAACACTCGAAACCCATGTAGAGTCACAGTTTGCTTAACATTTCATGTTATAAACACTCGAAACCCATGTAGAGTTACAGTTTGCCTTAAATTTCAAGTTATAAACACTTGAAAACCTTTAAATATATATGTATAGCAATACATGTCGAGATGTAAAAGAAACCGTCATAAAAACTTCGGAAATTCTATAAAATTCAATGGTAAGTAATGAGGGGGTAACTGTCTAACCAACAAATGGTCCTCTACCAGAATCCACCCTCAGGCGAAATACGTCCAGTACCTTAACCCGGGCTACAAAAAATACTATATAAATATCCCGACCCACGTAGTGTCCCAGTTGGCTTGAAATACAAGAATTAACTTTTCAGTTAAGCACAATCTTCTTGTGTGCGTATGGACTTACGAATGATGGAAAATTATCTGCTTTACAGAACAGTTAACGCTTAAAACGTATTTCTCGACCTCGCGAACATAATACAACATGAAATTGGAGTTCCATTTTTCTTAAGTCAGTGTCTCAAAAACTGAAAAATTATCAAAAATTTCACAAAAAGTGTTAAAAATTCCTATGTCCAAAATGCGTTTCTCGACCTCGCGAAGACACTGAGACATGAAATCGGAGGTCCGATTTTCCAACGTCGGTACCCCTTGGGGCTTAGAAAAATTTATCAAAATTTTAAAAAAATCGTATCTCGAAAACTAATAGACCGTTAGACTTCTGGATTTTTTACGTACATTACTAGTAAAACCCTACGTTACCCCAGAGTGGTCTCCATTTCTATCGATTAATTTGTCCTTAATTAATTATTTATTGAAAATTGCACTCTTTGAACGCTCCTAGCTCCCAAACGGTTGCAGATACGGGGTTGGAGTATAGGGCCAAAGTTGTAGAGCTCGTCGAGATCTATAAAACAGGTCGCATAAAAAAGTCAAAATCCAAAAAACAAAAAATTTTTTGTATCTCGAAAACCAGTTTTTTTTCGTTCTAAATTTTTATACATATAGTACTAGTCCGGCCCTACAACATATCCAAAAATTAGAGAGATCCACCGATTTATTTTTTTCTAAAAATCTTTGAAATTTTCTAACCTCTCTCACACCGAAACGGTAACAGATAGGGGGGTGGGATATAGGACCAAAGTTGTAGAGTTCGTCGAGATCTATAAGATAGCACACTTCATTAGCCCGAAATACAAAAATTTTTTTTCAAAAATTTATTTAACAATTTTTTTCTCGAAAAAAAATCGTACGTTAGTAAGGACAGGAAGTTTATGTTTCGCGCATAATCGCATAATTTGTAAAAACTTATTGAAACAAAATCTTTTCATTATTGTAAGTGTTTGGACACCAGTAGAACACGATTTTTGAGCGCATAATTGAGGACCTTTCGCAGCATAATGTCATTTTCCCGCATATTTCGCATAAAATTGCCAAAACACCGTATTTTCATCATAATTTCATAATTCCACGATAATTTCATAATTTCATAATTCATAATTTCATAATTTTATAATTCATAATTTCATAATTTCACATATTTTTCATAATTTCACGAGTTTAATCCCAGTTGATCGATACATATACATTTAAATTTCGCGCCGTGAACCTACTGGTACGAGTGGTACGCTCTTCGGTAGAAAGCGGAGGATTAAATTTTATAACTGAAGTTACAAAACTATTACATGTATATTTGAATTAAATTTTTTTATTTAATAAACTGCCTGTGCAGATGGATTATTGTATCTTTATTTTGATTTCTTATTTCCCTCAGTGTACTCAATAAACTCAATCTCTACTGCTAGACAGTGGTTTGTCTTAAAGCAATAATAATATTTAAAATACATACTAAGAAATAAGATACACATTAAAATTCAACTTATTTTAGACCGCATAATTTTGCATAATTTCAATAAACACTTTGCATAATTTCAGTAAAATTTCTTGCATAATCGAACATTTTTAAATGCATAAACTTCCTGTCCTTATTAATAATTCTTTAAGAGCAGATAAATTTGTAGAAGAACACATCAAATATTTAATTGGACGCGTAATTATCGCAGATGCGAATATACCGCCAAAAAACTTGGATGAATCAACTGATGTTAAATCAAATACTTCTTCTTTTAATGTCGAATCCATTCATGATATTAGTCATGAAGACATAACTTCAGACAACACCGAGAAAAAACTAGATTTTATTCAAGTTGAAGAAAATTTATATATGTCAGACAAGGAAAATGTGACAAATGATGAGATAAAAACAAGAAAACTTGAATCAAGAAAAAAAACAAATAAAGAAGATTACGTTTCCGACTTTGACAACAGTTTAACAGATCCAGAAATTACTGCCTTACGAGAAATCGAAAATTGGAAAGGAAAAGTTACTGGACAATCCAAGAAACAAAAAGGCAAATATTTAGGTCAACGGATGGACGAGATCTCGGATATTTTAAAATCGAAGCCACAAGTGCGGCGATGCGGATATTTACAAATGAGTTATGCGCCCCACGGGCGCGTGACGACTCTTTAAATCCGCTTCACGACCGCGTCCACGCACCGCGCACGTGCCGGTGCCGCGACCGTCCGCGCCGTGCGAGCGCGTCGTGTGAAAACTTAGGCGGTAGAATTAAATGTAAAATATGATTCATTTGATTGTACATACATTTCTATGCCCAATTTCATTTGTTTTAAGATTTAAAATACATTTTCTTTTATATAGACCGAACAAAGTGATCCTGACAATCCTACCAAAGAGTTCCAAACTGAAGAATTAGAATGTGAGATTGTCGCAGTGCCAACAGATCCATTATCTGTTCCATCAAAATTAAGTCCTGCATCTAAATCTGATTATACGATGAATGGGCATTAACTAAGTGCTTAATCCATAAGAATGTCTCTTTAGTGGATATATCAAGATTATTTTTATATTTGTAATTGTTTTATGTGAAAATATTTATACATATGCAGGTGTTATGAATTATTTTCCCTTTAATGTACCAAAATTGTTCAGGATTATCTATCTATTTATCAGTTTTACGATATTTTATCAAATTATGTAATAGAGATGAAATTTTCTTTAGGGAGAATACATATTCTTTTATTAGAAAATTCCGTTTTTGAACGATACGATTAGACACGCAATAATTTTAACAATAAAAACGTTAAAAAACCCGAATATCAGGAAATAATCTATATATAATTGTTTTAAAAGTAATAAAAATATTTTCTTTTAATCACGATTGGGACGAAAGAAAATTTTTACATCGATAAAGACCGAATAAAGTAGTTTAAGAACTCTACCTCCCTAGATTATCGGTATATAAGAAAAAAATATCTGTAATAGACTTATCTATAATTTTCAACGATTAGACACGCTTACATTGCGAAAAATTCTCTGTTGGACCAAATGTAAGAATTAGGAACGACTAAACTTCAAAATAAATTGAAGAGAGAGATAATAATTTATCTTGTACATTAAGCATTGTAAACATAGTACACATTTCATCTCGTAACAATCTCACATTGATGTGAGTCGACTCGTTCGGTGATGCGCGTAATTGTAATATGCAAAAAAAAATTATCTCGGAATACGATGGTCGGTACGGGGTGCAGTCTCGCGTGTATGCACGAATAGTTGTGACCGTGTTCGTGACGTATTGATCCTCGGTACCGTCTATAGTGATATTTTCTCCGTCTCCCTTTCTCTCCGGCCTCTCGTACGGGTACGTTTTTGTTTATTCTGCCCTGGGTTTACTTTGCCACCCCTTCCCTAACGGCTGGTGTTCCTTACGCGTTCATTATGGGACAATACCGCTGAATACGCACATGATATATCAGGGAAGCGCGAGAAAAAGAAGAGAAGGCGTTACGACACAGCTGACAAGATACTGTCATAAAAATTATTCCAGACTGCTTATCATCGATTTTAATTACTTTAGAATGTTCGATAGACCAGCTGAAAATAAAGGGCACATATTTGTTTGTATATGTGCCCTTAATGCAAAGTAATTTAAGGGTTAAAAAGGCTCTTCGTTAATTACCTCGATGTGTTTCAACCGAATATTGATAAAATTTTTGTGAAAAATAATTCAAATAAAAAATGTGTATTATATTGGAAATACTTTGTGTCAGTATGTTGTTTTAGAAATATTATACTTCTTTTAAAATTAAAAAGTCCAGCATATTTTTTTCCATTGAGAGAACAGCTCTTAAATATTACTGGAAGTTGCAGGGAAGCAAACAATTTGAATTTATTTTCTCTCATTCGTTAAATTGCGCGCATCATATAATTTTTATATCCAAATTTTATCGTATTTATCGGTTCGTTGAATTAAATCCTTCACCCTTTGAAGAAGATATCTTAAACTCGTAGATAAATTATATACTTCTCTTGAAATTGCTTTTTCCGTTCAATTATCAATGCACTACTTGTTATTATTATTATTCTGTCTTCTTTATCCCACAATTTTTCCCCACTGTTAATGGCAATATTTTTTACTAAATATTTGTTCTGTTATCCAATTTTTAAGTTTTGGTTTTATCTCAAAATAGAATATAAACTGCATACAATATTAAATGTTATTCAATTCTTTTAGAAGATGGTTACAGAGCTGGGCACATCACGAACGCTATTCTGTTTATGATAGCAAAAGACAATCTCCCGTTTCGAACGGTGGAAAACGAAGGATTCCAATATCTTTTAAAAACAACAACTCCTCTGTATAAAATCCCTGGAAGAAAATCAATAACAAACCTCATGGAAGATAAATACGAGCTATTGTCCATGGTTGCGAAACTAAAGCTTTCGACTACGGACGCTGTAACTTTGACAACAGATGTCTGGACGGATACGTTAAATACACGGAGCTATTTGGGAGTGACTGCACACTTCGTATCAGAAGACAAACTGGAATCTGTAACGATTGGCGTTACTTTACTCGAAGAACGACACACAGCAGAGTACTTGGGTGAATGGTTGTTGCAAATCTGCACCGAATGGAGAATTACGAAAGAGCAAGTCGTTGCTGTTGTAACAGATAACGGCGCAAATATATTGAAGGCCATCACCGACTCTTTCGGGAAACACAAACACCTTTCGTGCTTCGCCCATACTTTGAATCTTGTTGCAAGTAAACTAATCGATGAAGAATCAACAGTTCGTGTTACGTGCGATAAAGTGAAAGCACTCGTTACGTTCTTCAAGCAGTCCGTAGTAGCGGCAGACGAGCTCAGAAAATACACCGAGAAAAGGCTGATCCAGAGTGTTCCGACAAGATGGAATTCAACGTATTTTATGCTTGATCGATTTATCGAACTGTCAGAAAACGTTGGTGCAGTACTACTTAAGTTTCCACAATCACCATCGATGTTATTAGCAAGTGAATTGCAGTTCGCAAAAGAGACGGTTCAGGTATTAAAGCCTGTCGAGGCTGCATCGAGAGAAGCGTGTGGACAAGTATATGTTACGCCCAGCAAAGTCATCCCATTAAACACGAACTGTCTAAGAAATAAAATTAAAGAATTGGATTTGCTCACAAGCGCAGGAATAAAGTTAAGGGAGCTACTTCTGGCTAATTTTGATAAGAGGTTCGGAAAAGTTGAATACATAACTTTTTCGCTATCTCGACGATCTTGGACCCAAGGTTCAAAAAATTGCATTTTCATAACCCATTCGCGCACTCGCAAGCAGTACAAAAGATTGCGAAGGAAATGCAAGTAATCATGGATTATCCTGATTCTCATCTACAATCAGCAATACGAATAGATGAGAGGAAATATGCATTTAAATCAGATATTACTCGATGTCCATCATATCTGAGACCCTATATGTTGTCATGCCCAATTCCAAGAGAGCAAGTAAACATACACTCAGAAAGTCAATATGGATGTCTTCTTGCATCGGTATATGATACAGAAATAAAACCTCTCAAATGGGTTAAAAGATATGTACCATCAGCATTTGAAGTTTCTACGAAACTTGTTAAGACAGCTTTAGAAATGTTGATACCTGGTTTGAATCTCCCAAATTTAATATCTGACGATTATATCTGTAGGTTAATTTCTATCTGTGCACTTTGGGAAGATCTCAGAAGTGTACTTGGCTTCCTAGTAAGTATCCACTTGGAATGATAGACAATTATTTCATTAGTGGGAAGTTCCTATTAGCAAAAATTAAGAATATCTGGTACTCTTTCGCATATGACCAAGTAATGATGATATCAGATACAACATGGGCACGTTGTAATGTCTTGATGTATCACCACCTCTTACCTACATGCTTAAACAGTAAGGTGTCTCCCATATATATAGAAATAGTGTATTCAATAATAGACAAAAATTTTACACATTATAATAACCTCATATATGATGGGATTAAGAACTGGGAATCAATAATACTAGGTTCATTAGTGGAGGATTATGACCCATATCCTGGAGGTACTGAATTTTTGCAACCAGTTCTAAGGGATATGAAGGATCAGGGGTTCAATTTCATGGTTGATTTATATGAGTATATTAAAAGTTTAAAATTACTCCCAGATCAATACTCTGAACTCCATGGGTTGAATCGACATTGGGGTCATCCAACAGTTGATGAGATTGGTGCTTGTAACAAAACAAAAGCCATTAACCAACACAGACCAACACCTAATTTTAATACTATTAGAGAATCAGTTGGTTGTTTAAAGAGACAGTATATTGTATCATTCATCCAAAGGCATGGAAGGTGGCCTTCTGTTATTAATGAATCGAAAATTCAAAATAATATACTGAGGACTATGATATTAACGCATGCAAGACACTTAAACTTACATCAACCTACAATAACATTAGAAGATTGGTTTTTGTTAGAATTTGGGAAAGAAATGGAATTTGATTATCATCATGATTATACAGAACTTATAGAAGATAAAGCAATAGCTCCACTTCGGAGTGAATTCAGGACTTTATTCAACCCTAATGTTCTGGGGTACAATCCTGGTAAATCAAAATATAGTAGACGGCTTCTGAAGACATTACTTGATATAGAAAACTTAAATTTAGAAGAAATTATAAATAAAATAAGGAGAAGAGAGATCCCTAGGGAAAGGTTCATTGTTATATTGCACTCAAAGGAGAGGGAGTTAAAATTAAAGCCCAGACTATTTGCAATGATGGTGTTAGAAATGCGAATGTATTTTGTTGTTACAGAAAAGAATATAGCAGATAATATATTTCCAGGATAATCCATGATTACTTGCATGTCTCAAGAATCATATGATTCTCAAAAGGAAAATGTCTCTTGCCAAAAAGACCACACCAACAATGAGTCTCTGGTCTTACCACGAGACCCTCAGTCGACATCAAGCAGTTCATGGAGAAAAAGCCTATTCGGGAAATGACATCCCGCAAGATCTAAAGCATTACTTAAATCAACCGACGATTGCGCTGAGCGATAACCCTTTGAACTATTGGCATAAAAACAATGTGTATCCGGTACTACGTAAGGTAGCATATCGTTATTTACCTATAGTAGCAACGTCTGTCCCGTCGGAACGCTTGTTTTCTAAGACAGGTAACATATTAATAGAAAATCGAAATAGGCTTTCGCCACTGCATCTACAGCAGTTGCTGTTTCTTTCGTCGCTTTCACTCAAAGACTGGCTATTTGATAAATAAAGAAAAGTGAAAAAAATTAATGCGTTATTATTTAAAATACTTTTCAGTCTTATCTTTAACCTTTCAAAAGCTTCCTAAATTAATGGTAGTCGATCCACTGAAGCCTAATCTACAATAGTTGCAAAGTCATGTCGCAAGTCGCGGATCGCAAGAAATTGTTTAATCACAATCAAATTTGAGGAGAATAATTGATTATGATTGATCTATTTCTTGTGACCCGCGACTTGCGATACGACTTTACGACTATTGTAGATTACGCTTAAGGCTTACGCTAAAATTTGATCCTACACTTTGGGTGCAAAACTGCACTTTAGTAAATTGCTTTTGGTATATTTAAATTTTTATACTATGATGTAAAAAGATCGATTTTCACAAAATCGATTTTTTGCATTCTGATTTTATGAGAATCGATTTTCACACCGGCGATTCCAAATCTATTCAAAAATCGATTTTAATCACAAGATCGCACAACCCTAGTATTTATTATGATGGTGTTAAGCTTCATA